ATATATATATATATATATGTGATAATAAAACGCCTCTCAAATATCAGTAAACATTAAGAAAAAACATAATTGATAGCATTAGTTTCTAATCTTGCTTGGAACGACCATAGAAAATAGTAAATTGCTGTTATTATTAATTAATTATTATTATTATTATTAATTAATATAGCCTATTTTCCTGTAGTTATAATCATTAATACTAGTATCATTGGTATGTGATAAATATGTCCAGAAAAAGATTGCTTCGAAAAATACATTCAATAGCGCATCTTACAATCATCTCATGAATTTCATCGGTTAAACTGTTGCCATTGTCAACATTCATTTCACTTCGATCACAAAATTTCCGTTTTACATTTAATTTGTGCCAAATGTGCTTTTCAAATGGTCCCTTATAAATTTCTTCAACGATTCCTTCTCCACAATCGAACCTCACAATAAAATTTGTTATTATTTGTGTAAATCATCTTAACAAACGTGAAGTCAGAAGAGAGTTCAGCGTTCCTTACCTAAATATAATGTCAGCACCTATAAATGCAAGCGAGATGAAATCATTTCCCACGTACTCTCCAGCGTAAAGAAGAATCCCATCGTCATCATTTACATGTCTGAAATTATGAAAACAACTTAAGTGCAATACAATGTTAAAAATATTGCTGAAACGTTAAATGTGCTGATTCGTAATAATTGTTTTTTCGTTTCTCTGCATCTTTAATTTACAAAAGTAATTCAAGTCAAAGTAAGTTTTTGAGTTCAACGAATTTAAATGATTATATTAATCTACCAGTAAATTATGATAATTAGTTAGATGTGAAAGCTAAATCTAAGTAACAATTCACGCTACATTTGCAGATAATAAAAAACAGTAATTTACACATTTTTGTATAATTGATTTAATGCTAACAAGTACCCAACTTTTTTCAGTAAAAATTCAAAAATGCAACTAACTTATAATAATTCACAGTACTATTCTACTCACTTGAATTCTATCGTAATGATTGTTTCTAAATAAGCATTTTCGGGCGCAGTAAACTGCACAAAGTTTTTACCAGTGAAACGGATTGGAAGTAATTTTGAAGAAGCAGTTTTTTCTAGATAAGTATGAAGAGCACCGGAAAAATGAATGTCGATTTTCGATTCGTTACCTACAGATGACATCAAGCTTTCTGTTGCTGATAAACTTTGCTATTTTATTTGCAAAATAAGAAAAAATCGGTGAAATTCAAATTTCGTTTGCAAATATTATAAATTACAATTTAGCTCATCTAAAGTAATTTTTTGATTTAATTAGATATATTCTAGCAAAATTTTTTTAATTTGTATCCACTTGCTTAGCATTTTTGAAACGCATACTTCAAAATGTGCATAAATATTTTGCATAAATTTCAAGTAATTAGAATACTCAGTATCAAATAACTTACTCACACAACCGATTCCATCATCAAGTAATATGTGACCATCCCAACACCAACATTCGTAAGTATCAGACGAAAGTGGTACACAAAGCTGTTCGCACAGAACTGAACGATCTGCACATGAACCTATAATTCAGTTGTAACACTGCCTCATCAGAAATGTTAAATTATCTATGCTATTATTATTATCAGTATTATTATTTTTATCATTGTCTTTATCAGGTATGAGAATCTGTATCTGTGTTAAAATTAAGAAGTTTAGAAAGTAATTGCTTAATTTTTCAAGAAACACTGCAATGTCGACATACTTTTTTTCACTATCCGAAATTGGTTTAACAATCATTTAAATTGCAAAACTGGTCATTTTCATTTTCAGTGCTATTTTATCATTATTTCACTTCGACAATTAATCTTCTGACAACTTTTTAGACATTTACTAAAGTTCATTATTGCAATATAAATGACCTTGAAGAAAATAAAGGTTTCTTCATTCTATTTACAATAATTTCTTATTTTCATAATTTATCAAGTAGAAGTTTGTTTGCTTTGTTCATCAAATGCTATTTTCATAATTAATGACCATTAATTATGATGCATGCATCTGTGTTCAAAGAATATAACACATCTAATTAATAGAAAGCAAAAATACTTATCAAGCAGCATTCATTCATTACACATTCATCGTATAGATTTTGAAAAGTACTTGTCTTTTAGTTAATAAGTTAAATATTAATTAAAAGAAGCTTATGAATATATAAATTCAAATTTTGGTTTATCTAATACTTGTTTTTACAATAAATAACAGATTTTGCAACAATAATTAGTTTTTTTTAATCCTTTAAATTTTATAAAGATTGGTTTTTTAAGGTCAAACAAAGTATTAACTTGGAGCTTAAAAATAATTCTTAGTCTAAAGATTAATAATTACTCAATGCATGTAATGCTTTCAGCTTCATTTTTTCGTAAACAAAATATCAATGTGAAGTATTTACATTCAGTAATTGAGCAGTAAAATGAAAATGAAATAAGTTATTTGAATATCTTAGGATAAAAGTTTTTTCTATTAAATATTACTTTTTATTATTATTGCCTTGCCTAAGAGAGTGTGTAGAAAAACCACTTTTGAAATAAATATTGCCCTTAATTGTTTAGTTTTAAATCACACTTGCGTCAAATATCGGATTTATCATAATTATGCAGATAAAAAATCATCAATACTTACATAGCTGGAATTTGCAATCAGAGAACTTTTTGCTGTCTTTTAAATAATATCAAATTTACTCAGAGTTCAATTCCAAAAAAATTAGTAAGACATAACTGCCTAAAATATTTGACCATTTTGTTTATAGCAATTTTATTTTGAGCTGCCATTTCAGCGAACTGAAATTCAGTGGCAATGAAATGAATTTGATTAGTTATTAGTAGGCTTATTTTACTGCGAAATGAAATAAAAATAAGTTGTGAAGTGCAGAGAGTTAAGGCCTAACGCCTAACGATACATTGCAAGCGCAATTATCATTTCATTGATGCAGTCGGTTTTTTAACTCAGAATTGAACAATTGAAAAGATAATTGCTAGTGAAGGAATCCATTTTATTGCTGATTGATTTACAGCATTATAAAAGTTTGCCAGCTACTGGCATAACTTTTTTTCAAACTTTGAAATTAGCCATTAGAGGAAAAAAGAAACTGCTAATACAGAATTGCTAGTATAGCGATAGATAGATAGATAGATAGATAGATAGATCGATAGATCGATAGATAGTTAAATAGGTGGATAGATAAATATTGCACTATCACTAATTTTGAACAAATATTCATATAACATATTATTTATCAATGGATTACTTTCCTTGCGGCTGCATTAACACGCGAACAATATTTAAATGACAGATTGCAGAACTGATGATTATTTTGCATGAGGTACTGTATGAGTTTTTTCAAGAACATTTTAGAAAGATTTTTGGAAAACTTTACAATGTACTGCACTTTAGAACTAATATTAGCTTTTCTGAGATTAAATAATTTGTTTTTAAGTAAGCAAAATATCAGTGTTTACAATAAAAAGCATACTTTGCAACCCAGTTTTTTTGAATCTTCCAAATTGTTTTAAAATCGATTTTTTAAATCAAACAAAGATTTTACTGTGTTAATGCTTTGATTATACATATTATTTTTAATTAATTGTGCATTTATTTATTATTATTTATTTATTCATTTATTTATTTAGTTAAATGTTAGATAGTAGAGATTTGAGCTCAAATTTAAAAAATATGAAAAAAAATTTCGAGCTGCAGCCATAGTTATCTCAAAAATATTTCATAGTTAATAACAATCTTTAGCAATAATCTCAATGAAGTTTTTTTCTAAAATAATTCATAAAGCATATCAATACTCAATTTATGAAAAATGAAATGCCAATGTTTGGCACCGTTAAATATTGTATTGTTAATTAAAATAATAGCTATGATAGCACTCACAAAGCGCTTTTTCAAATATTTATTTAAGTGTTGAATGACGATGAAGGAATATAGTTTGCTTCTGCAAAAGAATACAGTACTTAAATAATTTAGTATTTGAATTTAATTAAATATTTTAAATGGCTGAAATCGCATGCTTTGCTGTAGTACACAACACCAAGACAAGATCTCCAACAGCAATGAGCTTTTTTGTTTATTAAGCATTATTACATCCTAGCATAAAGTGCTTCGAGAAAGAGATTAGAAACGAGTAATTTGTCCCATACTACTTAGATAAGCAAATAGCGAACGATTTGTTTTTGATTTCAAGCAGAAGTTAAATTCTGCATTCATATCAGAAGCTTCCAAGAACTCGACAACAATTCTTATAAAAAAGTAAAGAATAAATAAAATAATTTGTTTTCGATGCTTCTACTCCAAACGAATGATCGAAAACAACTAATCTTCAAGATTATTTATTCACGCGGACAAAATAATTGAGTGCCTTATTAACCTTTTTACTTCTCAGTAAAATGTTAATGTTTTGTGCGCATGAAAGATATTAAGCTACCATTCATTCATTTCAGTGTAAATTTAGTTTTTTTTTCTCGCAAAGGAATTTAAATTCAAAAAATAGCCAGGTTAATTTATAACTTTTAAAAATATTTGTGTAAATAAAAATAAAATGGTTTATTTGGGGATACTATATTGATAAAAGATTGACGAGTGCAATTGTATTTGAAAAGCTTTTTCCCATTTTTAAACTAATTAAAACTAAAGAATGTACTGAAATGCAATTTTTATGCAATTACGGCCAAAATTGCATTTGTTACAAGAGAACAACAATTTTATTAGTAAAAAAATACAGTTTGCCAAATTAAAGTAAACGAGTTTCATCACGTAATGATAAGTTGTACACTTATTTGAATAATAAATTCAGTGAACTATTTATGTCTCTGAAAGTGAAGACTAAAGCTTTTGCTGATTGTAGTAAATAAACTGATCAATGTGTTTACATAGCAACAATTCATGGATATGGCAGGTTCATTCAGACATTATGAATGAAACACTAAGAATTTGCATAATTCATTCTTTTCTTTCTCCAAAATGTAATTATATAAAATTGAATCAGTCCAGCTGTGGCTTGACATCTTCTTCCAATAATATCCATCCCATGCAAGAAATGCATTATTAAACCGATTTAGCAATTTTAATGATAAAGAGCGCATATTTACGCTTCGTATAACTATCACTTAAGATTGACAAACGTATACTGCATTTGCACTAAACTTCACAAAATATAATCTGCTCGCGTATTTTAGCGTAATATTTTCTGCATAAAAATAAACTGCCATATGCATACGAATCTTCAACCTACTCACATTTCTTCCATTTTTTTAAATACTGAAAAAATTGATAAGATATGCTTTGGAAAAAACAAAAAATAAAATATGATTATGTAATTATGGTTGTCATCCATTACTGAAGCATAACATTCTTTTTAGTTTTTGGCTCTTTAAGCTTAACTTTTGTGGATAAGTAATAAAATATTCACTCCTTACATGTTCAGTAGTAAATTAAAAAGACGACTTGTAATTCATTTGGCATTTTATCAATAAATTAGCAAACAAATAATCATGAAGAAAACGAATAAATGTAAATAAAATAGTTGTACAAAAAAGTAAGCAGTATAAAGGAATAATTACTCAAGAACGTGTTTGAAAGTTGTCTTTTGCATCAAACAATACTAATTTATTCATGAAGGTATGAAACACAGAACAGTAACCTTTAAATTTATGCTAATTATTAACTAACAATTATCACTGTACTCATTAAAAAATAAGTTTCAATCATAATTAAAATATAACTGCTGCAATCACATTAAAAATAACTATACAAGTTACATAATTTTGTAATTAATATATAATATTTGCAGAAAATACAAAGTTTTTCAAAGATGAAAATATTTAAGCAAAAAGTGGCTCAGTCATTTACAGCGTAAATGTGATGCGATTCAAACGAATGTGATGCACAAATGTAATTCTGAAATGTAAGAAAAAGGAAAAAAAGAAAAAAGTTAATTAAAAGAAAGCTAATTGCGTTGGCAAGCTTACCTTGAAAAGCAATTGCATACGATGAAGTAAATCGAACCAAAATAGGCAGAAGTAAAAGACTGCGCAAGGCATAGAACATTTCTTCAGTTACTTCTGCTTTCTTCTTTTCTAATATTTGCAATGATTTCAGTTACAAAACGTAATGATAAGAAGTTTGATTTGAATGTTGTTTGCAATAATAATTATTACAAATTGTGAACTATTTTACTGCAACTTTACCAAATGTTTAGAGCTGTTGAATCAAAACGTAACAGTCAGAATTCAGTTAGTAGTCTGATTGTATCAATCAGTTTTTTGATTAGATAGCTTTGATAGAATTGAAAATTGGTCAAAATGATGAAACAACTTGTTTTCTGCGCAGATTTGAAAAGTGCCAAAGACTGGTGAACAGCTCAGAAAAGAGTGGTTTTCAAATTCTCAGACTAATTCAGGTTAATCAATCCAGGTCAAAGAGAGAAGGCCAAGAGTGAAATGTACGTGGAATTATCCAACCCTTTACTCTGATATTGATCTTTACATAAGTAGCCAATGGGAACAAAAACGAGAAAGGCCTGACTTTCAGGCAACGCCCAGACCATCCTAAGATTCTGAGCTCGTCCTCTTATACGCCTTTCATCACTTTGCTAGTCATAATTGAAGTCTCTTGCGTGGAACATTCACTTTGATATCTTGCACTTCTGCTCCTACAGATCTCATGTCATGATCACGCAAAGGCAAAACAGTTGCAAAATTCACAGTCCTACTAGAGCACTTATGAATTTTATACAGAAGTTGGTGATGAATTCTATACAGAAGCCTGAAATTAAACAAAAAGCTTACTGCGAATATTATTGTGCTTCTTCATGATCCTCTATATATATATAGATAGATAGATAGATAGATAGATATTTCTAACATTGAAAAACTGTGTTAGAAATCATTACTTAAAAAAATATGAAAGACCGATATGTTGAGTTATAATACTGAAAAAAATGTGTTAAAAATTATTACTGTAAATAAATATATATATATAATGTACAGCCTTGATTCTCGCGTTGGATGGTGTTCCGGCACTCTCGCTGTACTCACTCGGCATTCAGTTCTGCTGATTCTGGTCGAGTGCTTTCCCATATCCTTCATGGAGCTTTCTTCAATCTGTTTTCCATTTATTCTCATATTTAATTTCAGGCTCTGCTTTTTTCCGTTTATCCTTCATTTCCTGCTTTCCTACTTTGTGATGCGATCGAATGGCTGGCAGCTCAATCGCTGGGCAACTCTGCTTGCATATTTATATATTTTTATGTTCATAGCCAAAAATGAAATAATTATTGAATGAAAGACTTTGACATTGAAAAACGAATAGTAAACTGTGATAATTGGATGAAATAGAGAGCTAGACCGTTTAACCTTGAGGAGTTTTAAAAATTTTAGCACTAACCATGCGTAAAGTTATAATTTGTTGAATTTATTTGAACATAGAACAAACTTACTCCTGTTTCAAAGCCAATTATGTTATTCACTACTTAAATTTGAAAGGTATTCGCAAAGAGTGAAGATGAGAGATTTAGAAATTTGATTTCATCAAGCTGAAAAATACATTCAGATTGAAATACCTGATTACTACAAGTATAAAAGTGGTACGATTTGTGATCATATCATTATGAGACTATAAATGCATGCATATTACTAACGATACAATTAAAAAAGAGATTATAGTAAAAATTTTTATTTGAACTTCAAAAACTTGAAAACTTGAGACTTGAAAGTATATTAGTCAGAAGCTATTTGAAAATTTTATCACGTTCCAAGTAAATATGCAAATAATTCAGTGTAGATATACTGCAAATAGACTAAAGGAAAACAAGAAATCATTCACTTACAGAGTTTGACATTGCATGGACTTGCCTTCAAATGGGATGTTTTTACTGTCTTAGCAATTTTCTGAACTGAACTGCTTCTGAAAAAGCGTTTTGCTTCCGTCTTGAATGCAAAAATCAAATGAGGATTTCAGTGTTGAATTGTAAAAATGTGAGGTGCTGAAAAATGAGTAGTTTGTAATTTGTAATTAGAGCTTGTTTTTTGACTACAAGTATAAGAATAAAAAGAAAATCTGATCCTGTTTATAAAAGTAGTTTAAAATTTCACAATTCAAATTTTTGCTGAAAATGGTTTTTATAAAATTTTTTTTATAATACTAGCAAGAATAATATTTTTTTGATGAATTTTTTCCAAGAGTAAGATGTGCAAATTTTTTCTAGCTGTTTATTATTATAATTATTTACTTGAAATTTCAAGCTTTTTTAATGTCATTTTTTAATTTCAAATTATATCATTCATATAACAATTTGCTAACGAAAATTAATGAATATTCTTCATAACTAAACACATTTGATTTTAAATGCTTATCAGTTACAAATCAAATTCTAAAAATGATATCAATGTATATTACTCTTTTGATGATAAATTTTTGCATAATTAAGTAGTTGCTTGATGGAACCATTTATAACTTTAAAATGAGTAAAATAAAATGAAATTGAAATGTATAAGGATATTTTGCAATGCTCTAAAGGATGAATTAGTTCAACACGTTCAGAATTATTCGTCTTGTTTAATTTTTGTTACGAGTGAAGTAAAGTTTTACAAATGATACTTCTCTTGCATTAAACTGTTTAGTTCAGTTTTATTAAAGATAAAATTGGGCGAATTTAGAAAAGGTTATGGACTGTCATGGTTGCCAAGTGTTTGTTCAGCGGTGTGAAAACAGAAACAGCCCGCTTTATATTTCATCTTCATCATTTTCATGATATGCAGAGAAAGTTATAATGTATTTGTGGACAAATACGGTAAGCTAGCTACTGTTTGCTCTCTCATCATTTTTACTAACTTTTATGCAAACTATTGCTATCCTAAATATTAAACTCAAGTGAGCTTGAACTAAGCCATGGAGTGTATTCCAAGTATTTTCAAACCTAATTTTAAAAAAATTTTCATTCTTTACTAACGAATTTAATTGATCATGATCAATCATTGATAAGGTTATCAAGGGTTAATCTATTGTAGCATTTTTTTGATCAGTCAATTCACTCATTCATCTAATCAAATTATTTTCATTTTATTCAGTTCACATCTTTTTCATTATTTTCTTTTTCTTTTTTCTGATAAATTGTTCAAAAATAAAAACAATTTTTTATTAAATACTATTCTGTACATATAAATTAAAAAAAAATGAAACAAAGAAAAGTAGTACCGTATTTAACAAAATTAAACGAAATTAAACCGTATAACGAATTATTATTCGAGTTCAAATTTCTAAATTACACCAACTTGAGTTAGCAAATTACAAGTGCAGCTGTTTGGTACAAATTTGTAATTAAGGCAATTAAATTGTTCACATTTTTGACAACGACGAAAATTTGAACTCGAAAAATTGAACAATCACTGATTAAAACATTTTTATTAAAAATTTTCAAATTATACTAAAATTGAAAATTCTTGAAAGATTGATTGATTACTTGTGCAGAACAAAACTTGAATAATAATAATAATTTAGTTTTTATTGTAGTTATTTACTATTAGATTCATTAACAGAAATGATTGCTTACAGAGAAAGTACGCAAAAAAGTATTTAAAAAATGAATAATATGGAAGAATTGCACCAATCAGCATTTCGATATAGACGAAAATTACCTTCAATTATCAGTGCTGCTCGATTGCTTAGACTACGTTCGGGTCTGCTAGAAGGAGGTTCTTTCTAATACACTTTTTCATTCAGTTATTTAAACTCATTGAGGACTGCATAAAATAAACATTTTAATAAAACAGTTTATTATTATTAAAAATCCTTTTGCCATGTAATATTTTATCTAATTGATGTTGTACAATTACAAATAATGCAAAAGAAAACTTAAAATTTTTATGAATTGAACTGAATTATAATATAGATAACCGATTACGAACTATTATAACAATTTTCATTTTTGTAGAAGAAAACCCAAAATATTTTGTTAAAACTTTGCACTATTATTTTAAATATTATAATAGAGTTTTCAATATGTCTTAGATATGTTATTTAATGCAGAAGGAATATATGAGAGGAAGCCACATCGTATAAGTCCATTTTCACTTGAAGCTCGTGTTCCTTTACCCAGCGAAATCGACGAAAAGTGAGTTCAAAGTAGACTGAGAAAATAAAAAAGATTATTTCAATGGTTATAATACATCTTTTTGATATGTACCAATTGTTTTTTGAATTTGTCCACATAACTTATTCAAATATAGTCGCAAAATGACGGCATCATTGTTTATTTCAGTAGTTATGGCACAACGGTATGGAAAAGAAACGAAAGAGAACGTCTACGTGTTCGTTGTGTGAACGAAGCATACCAGAACTTGCGTGACCATTTGCCACTTACAGAAAGGTTTTTTTCAATTATACAGTCATAAATACGTTTTCAATATTAATGTTAACATCTCAGCAAAATAAAGTAAAAGTTTTCTAACATAATATTTTAATATAATTTACTGATTAAGAACTTTCTAGCTCTCAAAACTTGATTCGTTCGAGAGCTAAAAATTTTTTGACAATTTTTAAAGATTACTTATCTAGTCGTCAGTTTGACCGAAATAATAAAGATCAAGAAAAATTTAAATATATTGTTTGTCTGGTAAGTTTGAGTGTAATTTTTAATTACTTTTAAGCCAGCTAAATTTGAAAATATTTCAGCGAACGTCGTATAAGTAAAGTGGATACTTTGCGTTTAGCGATTCGATATATACATCATTTGGACTCTTTGTTACAAGATTATGATCACTGGAGTAAATGTGATTGTTTCACCACATTTCAGACGGAATCTGAAGAACGAGCAGAGCGTTTACGTGTAGTAGACCGTAAAAAAGAATCAGTAGATATGATGATGATATGCCCAACTCCATAATAAATATTGATGTTTAGCGTCAACTTATTTAGAACTCAATGTAATTCACTTATAATTCTGAAATAAATAATCAGACAATTATGAATAAAACTACTATGTAAGCTTACACAATTACATTCAATCATTTCAACTGTTCTTTTTGAACTCTGAACTTCAAATGACTGATTCATTTATTAGGGTGACATTAAGAGTGAATTTGAAGAAGAGGTTCACCTTCCTGTTAGAATTGAGCCATAAAGATGCCAAAATTAGAACTCCCATATTTGATTTTATAAGATAGCTACCCAAAAAGAGAAAGTTATAAGAGTGATGCAAGCAAATGTTGTTGAAATTTTACTAACAACCGAACAATGAATACATGATTACACTTCCATGTTTGTATAATACTGTACTGTAATTCAAGCAGTAAATACTTTATATCTTTTATTCACCGGAACTTCATAGACTCCAATTAACAACTGACTTGCACAAAGATTAGTGATACTCTGCTGGTACTGATTAATCTTCATTAACTGCTTTATTCACAACTAACAGCTAATAGAAACCAAACTCTTCGAGATTGTATATTTGCACAGCGTTACCATTTTTTATGGCAGCCCGGAATGGTTCGAGAATTGACAACGAATTAAACACTATCATATCGGTATGACGTCTGTTTTAGTTTTTTACTCGTGAGGGCATGCCATATTTATGTGTATAATACCTCTCATCCTTTTTTATACAATGGATTATAACTTTAAACCTTTGTTCTTCTTGTATTTATTCTCCTTGCAATTATTTGTCTTCTAGCTTTACCAAGTGTTGTCATGTTGATGTGTTTTTTTGATAAGGAATCTCTATCGCCTCAGAGATTATCTGTCTGTCTAAACTAATATCCCCCTTAATATTATAGATTTATGAGATTTTCCACTTGCCTTCATTTTTCCTTTAGCGATTCATAGCGTTGCAATCACCTGCTAAATAGATTTTTTTTTCCATGTAATGATAATATAATATACATTGTTTCAGGTGGAATTTCATTATGTCAAAGACCACTCAGAAATTGTCGAAAGAAGATGAATTGCTGTTAAAAGTATGAAGTTCATACATCAATTCTTTAAAATTTAAGCCTCATAAAGGACTTGAAATTAAGAATAGCAGAATTTTTCTAGTTCTTTTGAAAAAACGGATCTATACATTGTGAGGAGTAAACAGTCAATAAGAGTTAAGCCCATTTTCATCAACTTACGTGTTACTGCATTCAGCGTGTAAAAGTTTGGATAGTGAAGCAGTATGAATTATAATTTTCTGATCAATATTGTCATCATCAATTTATTACTTGTTATTCATAATTATAAATTAAACGGAACGACGATTAGCTCACATTTATTTGTTTGCTGTTGTTTTAAGGACTTCTCAGCTGCTGTATCAGCAAAAGGCAGTGCTTTATTTTATGGCAATTCGTCTGTGATCGCAATAGCACCTTTGTATCTCTATTATGGTATATATTTGATGGAAATAGCGGATGCATGGAAAATTTGGTTGATTTCATCTCTGATTGCTTCATACCTCATCAGTTTCGCTTATAAAAATATCAAGCATATCCTTAAGCACAAGTAATACTTTTATATACTAATGTTCACATTATGAGAAATATGATTACACTGAAAGTATCTATTTTATAGAAAATAGAAAACGTCGTTGCCTCATAATCTCCAATCTAGAATTTTTCAAATATTGCTGAGAACTAAAATGTGATCATTTATGGCAGTTTCACCAAATCTAAGCAAACTTGCAAATGCTTGGATAGAAAAAAAAAATGTTTAGTCAGAAATTTTCTAAAATTTGTAGTTCTTAGCTTATGATTTCTAAATGATACGTCTTTCTTTAATTTCAGAGCCAGCAAAAGAGTTTCAAAGATGACTAACTCAGAATTTTTTTTAGCAAAGTTAACAAAAATACCTATTAGTTACCAAAAGGTAGGGCACAAATTTTGAATGGGTCAAAAAGTCTGCCTGTTATAGAAAAAACTTTCAAATGTTTGATCTACTTAAGCCAAATTATATTTTTTGTGGTTACCTAATAACTGTAAAATTTTCAATTTGTTGGAGCAACTCCAATTATAGTGTATTTTTATGTATTTTTATCACATTGAAGATGCTTCATTTTATTTTTTTTTTATTTTTCAGAATCGTTGTTAGACGAAGTGATGCAATTACTCGTGAAATGAATCGGAAATTAGCAGATGAAAAAAAAATGTCTAAAAAAGAAAAGGATGAAAGAATTTTGTGGAAAAAAAACGAAGTTAGTGTTTTTTGACAAATTCAAATATTATTCGAAAATATTGGAATTTTTCAACAATAATTTTTAGAGTCAAGTTATTGCATCAAAACTATGTGCTTAAATTTGGTGAAACTGCCATAAATGATCACATTTTATTTCTTAGTAATATGTGAAAATTTCTAGGTTGGAGATTATGAGGCCACGACGTTTTCAATCTTCTGGAATAACACTCTTTTCCTTACTCTTTTTCTTATTTTATCTTTCTTCATATTTTCATCAGCATCACCTTCAACAAACTGTTTTTTTTCTATGAGTGGTGCAGCTGGTTTAGTTGCGCTTTTTTCAACTGCTAAATGATGTAGAACGTATGGTCCATTTTTACTCAAAATATTGAAATTCGAAGGACGTGAAGTGCTATTTATACTATGAAGGAAAAGACCTTCTTATAGTTTATAAGGATTTATGTGTTGCCCATGCTTTGAGTTGTTGGTATGGCAAAATTTATGTCTATTTGTAATTCATTTAATAAACATCTGTTAAAGTAGTGAAGTACACTTTGATGAAGAATTTGTAAGGTCTGTAATTATTTATGCGCAATTAATTCTTGTTGTGGCCATTCTTTAAGACTATTATGGAACTGAACTCCCTATAAAATTTGGAACAGCTATAGGTATTCTTTGTATGTTTGATGAAATATTCGGAGTTAGGGAGCTAAAAATCATTTCGGTATTCGCTCATACTTAAGAAATCATGGATGGTCGCTATTCACCTAGATTATACGAAGTGAAAAATCGGAAAGGGAGGAGAGATATACCCAAAATGTTACCAAATGGTAATATTTTGGGTGATGGCAACTACAAGGTTGTGTTTAGATCTAAAAAGAGCGTTTTCTATGTTATTTTTTAAATTTTATTGCAGGTATATGTCCTAATTTAGGTTTGCTTCAAATTTTTTTTTTTAAAGATTTGATTGCTAGGACTGTTTACTTACATATTGTGCTGACAAACATTGAATTTGATAACCAATAATCGTTGGGTTGAAGTGATAGTGGCTGAAGACTTGAAAGAGGTAAAATGTATTAGATATCTGCTCATTTAAGTGTAGTATTCTTTATCCTTGAAGATCGCAAATAATTTCATATAACTATAAAATTGTTTAGACAGTTTTATGAATTTTAGTTACTATGACAACGGGGCATTTTAGTTCCATACAAGGTTTACTTGAGTGGGCGATGCTAAGTGGGCATTTGCTTAGTGCATTCAACAGTTCATTAGTAGTTGGAACTTACTATTCTAGCATAAGGGAATTCAAATAATAGTTATTCAGAACAATAGTTACAGATACATCGCATTTATTTAACTCGTACGGCGACTTGCATTGTCTCTCATGTTTTATCACCAAGTTGTATTTGGGTGAAGCCTTTAAATCACATCACGAACCAATTGCAAATCCGAGATCTGTAAGTCTATCCAAAATAAGATGCTAGAGTGTTAAAATCAGCAACAAATATACACTAATTCTCAATATTTCTTAGAAATACTTTAACACCAGCTACTTTGCTCACAAAAGATCGCTATGTAATGGCGCCAGTAGAAGAAGGTGTTTACGGACGAGCACGGATCCGCGAATTTGACAAAGTTGATTCCAATTTTTTCGCGTAATTTTGGAGTTTTATTTGATTCTCTTAAAAATTTTTTTTTTTGTTTTGGTACATTTTTTTATTTAGAAATATTTAAAATTTTTAAGACTACGATGAGTTCTAGGAATGTAAAATGGCTCGAGTACTATTCATCGACGAAGGAACCAGTGTTTGGATGAGCATAGCATGCCTTGCTAAAATGGGAGAATGGTTTGCTTACCATCCTTGGCAAGCCATACCTGTTGCATTATTCAAGGTCTTTCGTAATATTTGTTTTGGAAACACATTAGGTGTTCTTTTTTAATACGACATGAATGTGGAAGGTTTTTCCAAACCAATGCTTTGAGAGATCTGTAAGTTCAGAGTACTAATAATTTTTTTAACCATATTTTATAGGTCAGACCGCTTGAGCCTTTGGTTCCTACTGGTTTTAAAGAGAAGTGGTCCATTGCGGATACAATGGCATTGCGATCAATTCTTAAACGATTTCAGTTCGTTCGTGTAGAAGCTATATTATCCACAATCTTTAGCAATGACTATAGGGATTTTGTGAAAGTGAGTTATTTTTTTCTGATGATTTGAGTGAAAAAAAAATACTGCATTTGATTGCTCAGTTTGTTAGTTGTTTTAAAGTAACCTGAAAATGAAGGTTAATATGTTCGGTTTGGAATCAGAAAGGGATAAACTTGGTGCTTCAATAACAGAAATGTTTGTTCGTGCACGTTTTGGCCATGTTCATTTCGATCGACTTTTATTTGATGCAATCACGCAAAATATTTATAAATGCATTGTAAGGCTTTCTTCTCCATGAATTATTTTATTTAAAGATTGGAATTTCGCTTTAAAAAATAATCACGATACTTTCAGACGCATGAAAAATTGCTTTAGACGCGGTATAATTGTCAAATATTTTGAATCGTTCATATATTTTGTTTAGTTGATAATCGATAAATTTTTCATGTGTTTGGAAGTACCTCAGCAAAATCAAAATATGTAAAGTAAAATGCATAAACTATTAGTGCACAAAAGTATTCAAAAAGTGAAAATCATCTGTAATTTTTTTTTGTAATTTCGAACCCTTTCTTTCCCAGTTGACTTTTATTTGCCTGCAGATCGATAAAGAATCACCTCCAGAAAAGGGAATATTACCTGCTTGGCAATTACGCTTTCCCGAAAAAATAGTGGTATTTGGTGATCTACAACTGATGAAGTGGGAAGAAGTACGTGAAAACGACATGAAGGTTGTTGCATTTGTTTCACTTCTTGACTTCTTTATTTTTTGCACATTTATTTTTACTTTTTTCTTTCCAGGTACAAGAAATAAATTTGGCTTGGTTAATTGAGCATAACTATTCTTATAAGGGCGAGTTCGTGATGAGTATTGAAGGAGGGTATATATTTGTTTACTTATTTTTAATAAATTCCATATTGGGAAGCAATTTTGTCTAAAATTTATGTAAGCTCTGTAGAAATAATGTTGCCATTAAAAAGAACTCTATATTTTACTTCAGACGTATATTTCCGCGTATTTTTCTGTTCTAATTTTGCATATCTTTATAATTTGCAAAGTTTATGCAAGTAACTTTACCAAATATTTTGAAATCAGAGTTATAAATTGCGTTCCAATAGATCCATATTTTAATAAAAAAAGCTCCAAATTATTGCGAATTATGTGAGAATATAGTAATTATTATTATTTATATTTTTTAGTGAAACAATTTCACCATATGAATTTTATGGTCATCCATTAAAATTTACAAGAAATGAAAAGAAATCTGAAAAATATGTAGGCCAAAGCACAGATAATTCTATTGCGGAAGCAGAGACTGCAATGATCGATTTAAATGAGGAACTTATGATCTTTGAAAGTAAACTTAGTATATTCTATAGTCATGAAAAAAACCGAAAACGACTGACTCCTGCTCGAGTGTTTGTTTTTTTTAAATGTATTCTTATTTTCTTATCTTTCGGAATTATGATCATGTTCAACCGTGCTATTGCATATTTAAACAATCTTTTGGTGTTGAAACTTCTAGGATTGCAAATGATTTGCAGAAGTTGTCGCTGTCACATAAGTCACAGTTGACTTCGTCTTAATTTCACAATTTACTACAAGATTTTTAGGTTTGAATGCTTAAAAAATTGTGTGCATGTATACGGCATTGCGGAAGGACAAAATATTAATATTCCTTTCAATGAATGCTGGCAACGAGTTGAAGTCTTGGGCATAAAAGTAAGTTTTGCTAACAAGAAATTACCATGTATTTTGAAAAGTAGCAGGCAGTTTTGCAGTGTTCTTGAATATATCGAGTATTATTGCAAGGAACGCACTGCATTTCACTTACAGGAAGCTTATTATTCGGGAAGCTACTATACTCGCGTTCGATTTCTTGACCGTGGTGGTACTGCTGTGCGTTTGTTGTGTAATGTTATTCAAATACATCCAATGTAATTTGCTCTTTAAACTCAGTTTGATCCATCAGTGTTGCATAGTAGTTATTGTTGTTATTAGCTCGAATATCTTTATAAGTCATTATTGAAGAATTTGAACATTTGCATGCTATCTATACATATGTCTATTGTGAATTCACTTGTGATTTTGAGTGTTTTCAATTTTTGAGCTTTTTCTGTTACTGTTAAAAAGTGAAAAATATAAATCTGCTTTTAAATATTTTGAAATCCAAATATTTGAATCATCTGTTTACTAGGCATTGTGTGCTTCCACCTTTGTCTGTTCAAATGTGTTTGTTCGGATTAAAACCTGCCAAGAATCCAGATTGGTCAGAAGAGGCAAAAAAATTTTTCATAGATGAGTTAAGAGAAGATGTCCCTATTTCATTACAAATTGTAGGTTGCAGCAAGAAGTAAGTTTATTTTTTTATACTTTTTGCCGTTTCTATAAATTATACTCAGTTTCTTTGCCTTAAATTCCTTTTAATATCATTATTTTGCACTCGATTATGGCTAAAAGTCAAATTTCAGTCTTCCGATCGGATTTTCGTATGATTGTTTATCATATCATAGACCAAATGTTCTGTTTGTAAATTGCATTCAGGTATGTTTGAAGAACAAGAGCACTCTTCAGCACTCTTTCATTATTATCATATCATTATGTGATTATGTTGTTAATCAAGTTGAAAGTAACACTTTTATATTTAAGATACGCGATGGTAAGGATCCGGAAACATTGGATATTCAACTTTTGCAGAACGGGTATGCTTTGGAGGCTGGCAGTGCTCCAGTAGAACTGTGCAGTGATCAACAAACTGTTTTGCTGAGAAAATAACATTTTTGTGAATGTCAGATATCTGCTGTATATTTTTTCACTTAAAGAAACAAGATTTTTAAGTAATGATCAGTTTATTTGTATGCTTCTTGAACATTTTTGCTCTCATTGGGTATATCTGGATATTGATTTAAAACAGACATAATTCAAAAAAGCTTGGATTTGAGAGCAAAGTTTTATTTAGGTGCTCATTTTTCGTCTTAATTTTCTTTTTTTCGTTTTTTTCCTTAGCACTTCTGTTATGATTTGAAGTAGGGAAAAATCAACAAGATATCTTTTGTTGGTTGATCAGCGTAATTTCCTGTAAAATTTCGTTAGAATTAGATACTTTTGATTAAAATATCTAATACAGCTTAGATCATCATGTGAACATATTAGGCTAATGAAATTGTTTTACTAAAAGAGAGCCAATTTTTGGTAGTCGTTCATTCGAAAATCATTTGGATTAGCTGCTAAACTGCTTGTTTTATGTTACTTTTTTCACTAAGAATTCGAGTCATTGTATCATTTTGCTTATTTACTTATATCAATTCCCACAGTGGTGTATTTGCATTGGTTGTGTTTTGTTCGAATTATGATAGATTATTTTTACTTATGCATTCGAACGCACTGATACTCTGAATGATGTCTTAATAGCAATGGTGCGCCTCCTTCAAATAAATGCAACATTTTTATGTTCACATTAAGCTGTGCTGTTTAGTTATTGATACAACTTGGTTGGTGGTCTCTATAAGTTAGTAAGAGTGATGGATGATAACACAGCTACAGTATAGAGAGATTACACAGTGTTATCAAGTTTGGTTTGGATTTGAATGCAATATCCGTCAATGGTTCTTTATTTTAAGCGGATTTTCTTTACAAGATTCGTGCAAAAGTCTATCAAATTTTGATCTTTTTGCTGTAGTGATGAGACTGAACAAATTATGATTTTTCTTTTGTGAATAGGAATTGTGTAGTTTCTTATCTTTCTTTCTGAGCTGGACGTTTCAGGACAAACCTTTCTTGTGCGAAATAGGAGTCACTTTTGCTGTACTATCATTCCGTTATTTGGTTAGCCTATAGATTCATTCCATTGTGAATCACTTCTATAGTACTATCACTACATTTGGTTGGAAAATTGATCCGTTCTACTGTGACTTCACTGCCGAAGAGTTTTAAATTTGAATTTTTTACATCTGTATTCTTTATAACAAAAATAGTGGACTTTCAAATTTATTGAAAAATTTGAAGCAGAGCTCTATATATTAGTAATGGAGTTGAATTTGCGCGTTTTGGTGATATGTCTTTTTTACTTGGTTGCTGTGGAAACAAAAATAAAATTGAAAGCTTTATGGAATTTGGAAGGCATGAGCATTTGTAGACTTAGATATTCTGCTATCGTGTATGTCAATTACGGTTGTTGGTGTGGTATGGGGGGTTCTGGTAAACCGATTGATGGAATTGACAGGTTACTTTTTTATTAAATCTCTTTGCATGTGGTTTTTCTGAAGAAAATTATTCTCAGCTTTTTACATCATATTATGAAGCTTAACTTTATTGAATGATTTCTTATCTTTATTTTAACTGTTCATAAGCAAAGCAGAAAATAATCGTTTTAACATTTTTATGTGTTGCATGAATCATGATTTATGCTACGATAGAGCAGTTGAAAATGGTCTTTGCTATGATACAGCTGAAGAATATGTCCTTCCGTATGATTGGATGTGCAATGGGACGAAACCCTTGTGCCTAACTAATGGTAATTTTGTTATTCAGAATTAATTCTGGATGAGTAGATTTGTATCAAGAAGAAGCAACTGGAATGTGATAAGTGTTGCATGTATTTGCAAGAAGAAATCTATTATCAGTGGAGTAAAAGCAGAATTTTATTAGAAAGCATTAGAAATCTATGGCAAAATTTTTAAAGTATTGTTGTTTCAAAAAATTTTGTACACTTCTGTATAAATTTATTTATGCAGAAAAGCAAAGTAAGTAAATTTCTAATTAGCAAATAGCGAATATTGAGAAAAAAATAAACACGATTGAAAGAAAGTCTCTTTCTAAAAAAGTTGGAAAATTTCTTTAAAAATCTGAAGTATATCATAGCTTTTGCAACACATGTTTTTAAAGAAATAATTGAAGTTTCATATTGTAAATAAAAGACTGAACAAAAAGAAAAGATTTAGTATATAAGTTAGTATGGTAAATTATTTTTGAACTTACTGTCTAGTTTCAGATGTTAAACTTGTACTGCTATATTTTATCTCTTAGGCTTATTTTCGCAACTATGATCATTGCACAAACAAGTCATTTAGTACTCATTAAAATGTATACTTTGTAATAAAGTCAAATTTTACTTGTCAGTTAATTTTTACTGTTTACTCACTATTTCAGGAGTTTCAGAATGCTCAAAAGCATTGTGTGACTGTGATTCGCGTGTAGTTAAGTGTTGGAACCGTTTTGACAGACCAGTTATTCGGGCGAAATGCATGCAAAAATATGGCAAAAATAATAATAATCATTCTAGACCATCCTCGCATTATTCTTCTATTCTAGACAAATTATTAAACATGCTGAAAAGATTCATAAGTAACCCGAAATAAATAATTATAATAACATTTTATTTAAAACAGCAAACTTTTTGAATATTTCTTTTTTTTAATTTATATTAATGTAATCATTGATTCTCTACACTCACTATTTATTTATTAAAAAAATACTGAAAATAGCTATTTATAAAGTAAAAAGCATTTTAATCATTTGTGTATAGTGCGTAATTGTTGTTACTTAATCTGTTGTTAAATATTCTTATCTTTGACATGCATAAATGCATTATAGAAGTGACGTATTTGCTAGCTAATGATATTTTACTGAATCAGTAAAATGCCTGTAGTGTACAACTGCATGCTAGCAATCAAATTAAGTTATTTATAGTATGAATTCTTGTATATAAGCCAAAGTAATTAGTAAAAGCTTTATGTTATATAATAAAAATAGAAGATAGCATGATTGCTAGAGTAAGTAAACAAGTAAGAAACTAAGTAAGTGTAACTGTGGAATTAAATTGGAAGTACAGCAGTTTACATTCATCATCGATCACAGAATAGCGAGCAAAGCATTAGACTCTCTGAAAAGAAATGCTGAAGCAAACTTACAAGTATCAATTTATTTAAATAAACCCTACTGCATCATTTGTCAGAGCACAATCAAGACCAATCATTCATTCATTCATTCATTCCTTCATTCATTCGTCATTTGTGATGAACAAACGAACATGTACGCATGCATGCAAGTATCAATGTCATAACACAAGCTTTGAAATGTGAGCACCACATAGAGCAGAATAATGTGTAATTTCCATGTATTTATTTGCATAGATTTGTTCTTTAAATACGAATATTACTACCTTTATTTATGACTATAAATTAGATCACTCTTATGTGGTGCAAACTTTTCAGCTCAAGATTACATCATAACACATTTATATGATCTATGCAACTGTTTTATAATATTCGCAACAAAGCAAGTACTTTCAAGTCCTATAATTAGTGCATAATTTTGTTAGTATAAATGTAAAATGCCAAATAATTTCGTCTGATTTACTTATCTTTTATCATCTTATAATGCTTACTTCCATTTTGGGCTGAATGAAAGTACAATGCTTACCATCGCATTGAATAGCAAAAATTTAGCTTCTACAACAACTCTCAAGATGACTCATTTGCAAAGTTTTATCGTATTCATTTATAGCAGTTTTTTGTTGCATTTTTATCCACTTTAATATTAAGATGACGAAAGTATTAATTTGTACAGATATATGTTGCTTATAATCTTATCATGTTGTTAAAACTGCTGGAAATGTAAGTAAGAAATATTTGCTAATTTATTTCTTTGCATTTGTGCTGAAATAGTTATTTGAATTGTGCGGTGGAAAAAAGTTGCACAAACTTTGTCTTCTACATTACAAAGCATTGAAAATTCTCACCAAAAGCCATATAGAGCAAATATAAATTGCATAAGATATTCCAATCCAAAGAATTAAAACAAAATAAGTATATGTTTTTCACAATCTGATCGACTTGAATCGAGAAATTCGTATCTAATTTTGCACTATTTTCTAGTGTAATAGTAAGATTATAAAGAATCATAAAAGCAGACATAGGATATATTCAGAAATTGCTGTCAATGCTTAATTATATGTGAAATTTTTTGGAAAAGAACTATACCTATATTTTTTAAACATTTTGTTACAGTTATTAATCTAACTCAATCATCGCAAAAGTTTGAGTTTGAAATTTTGGAAAAATAGAATAAAATTTAGTAAAAATTCGAAATATGTGTGCTTAGAGCATTTATATTGTTTAAGGGAATGAGCAGAACTGAATAAGAGTAAAAAGAAATTTTATATGTGCTGTGTTACTTTTTTACGAAAGCCATTTTCAGCTTTGTCTTCTACTGCCGAAGTAAGCAAAAAAGTATAAAAAAGATTATATTCTTGAAACAAACCACGTAATTTATGTGATCATTCTTAAAAAGTGAATTAAACGTTGCATAAAACTAAACTTTTTCACTATTAAGGGTTGTTCAGCTCATTATTTAAATTATTTCAGTTTACACTTTGAATATATAGTTCTTTACGATTAATAATTCCAAGTTTCGATTAATATTTCAAAAGATAACTTTTATTTTCATACAGATTGCAAAAACAATTAGTCTTTTCAGTTTTTCTAACGTAAAAAGTATTCTTTCGCTGCAGAAGAAGAGAAAAAGAATAATACATCTAAAAATATTGACTTAGCTACTAGCATTGTTTGTATTTCTTTTAAAGAATTTCAATGAAAAAAGTTCTGCCAGATAAATACAACTGAACTTTTTGCTACATTGTAAATTTACTATAGAAATATTAACTTCTAGAATAAAAAAACATGTACAAATGGTTTGTTGTTCGAAAAATATAAAGATACTTGCAAGCAACAAATAGAAAAGCTGACGACATATTTTTTGTCAATTGAAATTTCAATAAAGGCGACACAATTTTCTAAGAAGAAAATATCGCATCGCCTTATAAAATTGCTAGAAAATTATTAAGCAAAATATATAAAAAGTATTTTATACATTACTACTATACATTTGAATATTTTAATATTTAGTGTATTTAACGTTTCAAAAGATCATTTTCTGTCTGGCAAATATCAACCATAGTCAAAATGAAATTGACTCTATCGCTATGAAAAAAATGAAAGTAATTAATTCAAATATTCAACTAATATAATTTGAAAAATGCATATATTATGCATAAGACCGCAGTTTTATTTTTAATGCTAATATTTCTCCAGAAAAAGAAGTAATTTTATAACTAAAATTTGCACAATTTGTTTCATTGTTGCTATCATTAACTTGAACGCTGATTAAAAATTAAGTTTGCTAATATTTTTTTCAAATTTATGATTGAAAGGTATGCTAAAAGTGGTAATTTACATGTTGAGTAATTAATTTATGACCAATTTACATCGTTCTCAACTTTTTTGCAATTGAAATTTTTCGGAAAACATTTTTCAAAAATAATTATTATATTAATGACAACAACCTTTCTTTGTTTATTTTTTAACAATATTTTAGACCAAAATGCAATCAAACTTTTAAGTAAGTAAGTAACTTCAAAAAATGATTTTGATTAATCCGCAAAGAAACATTCAAATTTACGCAATTCTGCTTTTGCGCATATCTTGACTTTTCAATAAAGGTCTACTCCTGGATTTGTTAACTGTTTCTTATTGATTTCAATGCGAACAGGCCAGCCACGTATTTTTTAATTCTAAATCTATTTGTATCAAAGTCAAAATTTAGGGATACAATGAGGTAATAGAGTGAAATCTGAATTGTGTGCAGTGTAATAGATGCCCACGCTTGTATTAAATATAAGTGAACTTCGATTTAATTTGATAAATTATGCAGATTCAATTTTTTTTGTGGCGATCTTTAAAAAAATTTAGAATTCATGCAATTTTCATGTCGTTAAAATTTAATTATGCTTAGAAAAGTTGTTATTATCTATAGCAGTTCCATTACTTTTAGTAAAATTAAAGTCCTTTATAAACTTAATTAGTAGTATTAGAAAATGGTTATTTTTTTGACAAATATTGCAGTCAAAGAGTGATACAAGACACTTTAAAAATTTTCATTTTTAAATACAAACTTTTATATTGCCTACAGATTTTCCCATAATAATTACTACAGTTTGGAATATATCTGAGTTAATTTTTTATATTTTTTCACACAATTCAAGTTGTTGAAATGCCATAAATAGCTTTTGATGCATTAAAGTCATAATATAACATTTGTAGAGTTTAGCAACAAAGGGATTAGGAAACGCATAAACAATGTTTGTTAAAGTGCCTAATATAAGGAATCGGATTTCAAAAATTGTAACCTGCTGTCGGAAATTGCTACCACTATATTTTGATTGATTTTCAAAGATACCGTAGATTTTTTGTAAAAATTTCTAATAGGTCAACTTGAATTGCATAGCTGCATATCTGATAAACAAGCAAATCATACTAGCATTAAATGTTCTTTACGTACTATATTGATGCTAAATTTATAGCGTTTTTTTAAGTGGTCTCTGTGAAACAAATGATTCAATGTTACGAAAAATTAACCGCTCCAAGCAGCTAAATAAAGTATATTCATTTCTTAAAAATTCCATAATATACGAGATTACTTCAAATGTTCTAATATTATAATAATGTGCTTTGAGTCATACAAACATGAAAAAAGTTTTGTGATGAAACTGAATTATTATGGGAAATGTTGCCCATTTCATTAACTGATACTTCATCTTTTGCTGCGTACTTAGTTTCCATTTCTTCATTTGCTAATCCATGTTTTTATTAATGCTTATGTGTATGTGTCTCTTTTCAATACACATTACTGAGTATAGTAAATATAAATAAATAAATAAACAAACAAGCAAATAAATAAATAAATAGGTGAATAAATAAACGAATATAAATAATAAATATAAATAAATAAATAAATAAATAAATA